TAATGGACACTGACCAATGGCAGATGTTTAAATGTGCAATTTGAATACATTTGATTGGATAAGAGGCATCAAGCAAAAGCATATATACATTATGCACATTTGTTTGCTYGTACGAAAAACCTTTTCTACTTGTCATATCTATATTCATTTAATAAAAAGAATGGATAAAACAATTAGCCAGGTTGATTCTGGCCCCTCTTCTACTGTACTTCCAGCACATTTATTTAGCACAAGRAAAATTAGGTTAAAAAACTAGATGGATGAATGGATGGTGCTTTTTCACTTTGTAAGCTAACTTTGTAGAGGTGCTGTTTGATTAGAGGCCGCTAACTTTTTTCAGGACCCAGTGTTATTAGCAGAATAAAATTGTTTAGTTGTAAAACTGAGGGGAAAAAATCTGTACAGATTTATGTCTTCATATAAAACCCTTTCCTTGTTTTGTGTTTATTGAACACATTTATCATAACAGTAATGTTCAAAACAATTCCATTACAGACTCCATGACAGAGCTTTTATTGGTTGTGTTATCCACATTTGTGTGTATTTGTTTTGTGATGGACTCAGCTCAAGTATGAGAATTTATCACCAAGTTCTTATCACCTTCCACATTTTTATGTGTTTTTTGAAAAGCATAACTTGCACAAAGATACTGCCAACTCCTAACAATGATTAGCCTGTTCATTCTTCATTTTTTGAAAGATAAGCTGCAACTTGTGTATTGAGTTTATAGCTGGACTGTTGTAATTTTTTTTACAACAAATGCTGCCAGGGTACATGCGTCATCAGTCTGTTAAATCCGTCTTTGGTGGGTTATTGCCACGATGCTCTGAACAGGGTCAGATTAGCTTAATTTTAGCATCTGGTTGTGGATGTTTTTAAGCAATAGCATTGCAACAACTGTACACAAATTAGTTAATTAATGTAAATGTAAAGCTGTTAAGCCACATCTCTGTTGTTTTATTAAATTAATCAAATAAAGATTGTACTTATGGGACAGCAGATTCTGTGTTGAAGCTGATAAAGTAGTCAGGTCGGTGAGAAGAGTCACACAGTTATGTTACACCAAACGGAAACTTGTGACATTTACAGCTATCAATGTCCAGCAACTTTAAGAAAGCAAGCACTAGTTTAACCTTTAAGAAAGATCTTGGGTTTTAGAAGCTGTCCAGTTTCCATGACATGGGATCATCATCTGACTTCAGTCTTAACTTGATACCACCACCCAAAATCAGTCTTTGGGATATCTAACACCTGCCTTGTTGGGGGTGGCTCTGAAATAGAGTTTCTTGCCTGTGGTTGAGGAAAGTATGAAGTACGTGTGACACCATATTTTTACGTTGACATTAAGTGAATGACAGACAAAAAATAAAGTCCATAAACCAATTGTGAAATTTCTAACTATATTCGTCTTATGTTTTTGTGCTTCCTGTCTTATTTCCTACATTGTTTTAGTACTTTGATGTACAACTCTGATCAGATTGTAACAAACCAAAAAATAAAACAACAAAATGACCTGCTTGCTGCATTACTAATTAAAAATGTACATTCAATTCAAAATTCAAAAATATTTTATTGATTCTAAAAAGGAAATTAAATACAAAAGTTTTTCAAAGTTGATGCTTGCATTAGTGATTGATTTGTGTTGTCTTCCAGCCATGCCAATATTTTCCACATCAACACAACAGTGTAGTTAGCGCAACTGTCTCTGTCTCATTTTCTGCTTCACTAATCACTGCCTATACGGCCATGAAAAGTAAAGTTGTCTCTGGTTTTGAGTTGTGTTTTTGTTTTATTTTGCATTATTCAGGCATTTGTGAAGAAGAATTTCTTTGTTGGAAAGTTTGTTTTGTAAAGACAGTGCTTGGTTTTCTGTGACCTGGAAAAACAAAATGATCATGCATATTGTCATTTATTTGAAACTTGAAAATTCCACACTAACATCAGATTAATGATCAGTTCCTTTTATTAAAAGGAAGACTATTCAATGAAGTAATTAAAAAAGACGTCTTTAAAATTAAAATTTAAGATGTCTTTTTTTATCAGTTTCATTGAATATTCTTTATCAAGGTTTTTCTGAAGACTGTTAAATTTTTACACATTGTTCACTTAATGTTATTAGACTTAAAATAAATTCTAATGCGTAAAATACTGGTCTGTTTTCCTTGGGATAAACAATTGCCCTTTATGTTTGTTGTATCAACCCTAATCCACAAACAAGCCCTCAGTGAGAAGGAAAATGAGGAGCAATAATTAGTCTCTAAGGTAGTTTGCAAGGCCACTTCACCTGATCAAGTGTTATTTTAATCTGCTGACATTGCAGTTGGTAGGGACTGGCTGTTTGTAGTGATGTGTTTTATTTGTCAGGAAACTAGTTTCATCTTGTTTGTCCATGCTATATATCGTAACAAACACCCCGTTTGTAGACTAATGATTAACAATGATGGTTATTTATTTTTCTCTAAAGCTAATTTTTATTTCTTGACATCATATAAGACCAGCTGCAGTTTTAAGATTACATTTAACAAATTGGGAATAGTTGAAAGGAGAAATTTTATGAAATTTGACGTGAAATTTGTAATATTTAGTATCATCAATGCCAAATGGAGAGGGTAGATGTGCTAAATGGTTAATACTTCAAATGAAAACTATGCCTCATAGATCCTAGATATATCATTGCAAGGATTCATTACCTGAGTGTTTACTCTCTGCTGGTACACAGTGGATATAGATAGGTGTTGGTGAAATGACTCTGGCCACCCAGGATCTATTCTGGACTCATTGCGATGTCTCCCAAGGCTCAAAGAGGTCTGCTGCCTATAGACGTCTTGTTGTTTTCCTCAACCATCACAAGAGGTTCTATTTACTAGTGCTGTTTAATTACCAGGCAATCCATTCWTGATGGCCTCTTTTGAGGATCCACCAATATTATGTGGGTGTAGTCCCAGTCCAAACACCCAGTTCTGTAACCAGCTAACCATTTGCTCTTCACATAGATTATTGTCTTTTTAAAATTTACGTTTTCAGTATCATTACCTTCTTGCCTAATATTTCTTCCTTGATTTCCCCAAGCATATTACTTTTTCTACCTGATTTTTTATTATTGTGGCTGATTGTTACATTATACATTGCACATTTCAAATGCAAAGAGGGTTTAAAAAATAAAAATGCTATGACACAGATGGTTTTCACAGTAATTTTGAAATAAAAGCAAAAACTCAAAAGGATGTGTTTGCATTTTCAGATTAATAAAAAAAACACAGGAAAAAAACTCTAACACTGCTGGTGCAAATYTTCTCTCTGTGGATATTACAATTGTTGGGAAATGTAGAGATACAATCAGGGAAATCTAGATTTTCAGTGTTGTTATGCTCAATTTGTAGCGATTACTTAGTCCAGGCATCAATGTTCAGCTTTAAATTGTTCCTCACTCTGTTCCTCTTGTTTCATTGAGTTGCACCAGAGACCTGACTTTAAATCACTGGGCWGGGACAGGGTTGGACCCTCTTTATGAGTCAGTCTTGGCTCACTGTTTTGAGAGTTGGCAAAGGAGCAGTGTTCTTATGCAAGTGTTGCTTTGTTGTATGCTTGAGAAAAGCATTCAGGGTGCTTGGCATACATTATGTATGTGATACAGTGTTCCAGCAGTCAGTAACTGTTTTTTTAGGTCTTTGCATTTTTTCCCTAGTTAGATTTAACCTAGTTAGTAGTAGATTTGAGTTAAAGTAATTATGAAATACCACAGCATACACTTCAAGTAGTAAATTGGTCTGAACTGGTTGAAGTGAGGAAATATAGGACAGCTAGAAGAGTTTAGTGCCTGAATAGTTTTGGCTTACTTCCATCTAAATGCTGTCACTTTCAGGGTCACAGTTTTCCAGCTTTCAGTTTAAGCACACTTTTTAAATGTCATTGCTCTTCTGTTATTTACGTTTAGTTGAACATTATTTTTCATTTACTTTGTGTATTTCTTATCCTTCATTGTATGTTTGGCTGGATCTCCTCCACTTCCTGCTCCTCAGTGTCTTTTGTCCCTCAAAAACCCTGTCAGTTCAGTTCTATGCTGTGCTTTCATTTCACTTCCTATTTAGATTAGACATGCTCCAGTGTTATTGCTTCCTCTTTTTCTCAGAGATAGGGTGTAAGGCACAGATTGGAAGTCTCACCTTAACTTCCCAAACCATTTTACAGTTATTGGTTTTCCAGTAGATCATTACCCAGGATTGGACTCAAGCTATGAGTCCGTTTTGGTCTTCTGCAATGTGAGAGTGAGGATCATTGCCAAGTTTAGTGAAGTGGAAATGTGAATTTTTTTCTTACTTTGTGAAGATCTGTTCCATGTAGCTGGACATGTCATTGTATCATCTTATAAACAGTGTTTGTTTAGAACTGATTGAGATAAAGCTGATCTGTGTTTATTTTACTTTACTCATGTATCGGCCATTTGCAGATCTCCCAAAATTAAGGAAAGCTGCTCAGATTTATCATTGCACCCCAATATAAAGTTTTTTTAAGTACATGTGAGTGTGTGTTGAGCAAATTGACATACTGTTTTGTATGTCCATTTATTGCTTTTAAATGAGCCTTATCACACCCTAGATATTAAAGAATGCATTGTTTTTACACCAGAATGATTGTAAGGCATTTAAACCCAGAGAGGGTGGTGAAACTATTTTAGCTGTAAAATAATATATGGTATGTCAAATACAATTTATTTAGAGTAAGACATCCCTTTCAGTTTTCCTGGATTAACATACTACTAGTGCATGTATTTTTAATGTCAGAGTTGTAGTCTTATGAATATAGCATTGTTTGTTTTTGACTGTGTGTGTGTTTTTAGCCCTCTTTAATGAAATATTCTGAAAATGTTTTATTTTTTTTTTACCTTTAGCACAGTGATGGGGTTAGGGTTCGGTGGAGAGGCATAGGGAGGGTAAACTGTATGTTTGTTTGTACAGTTTGAGTTACTGTGAAAATTTATTCTTACATTCTTCTGTCTTCAGGTGAGACTGGCTGATCCAACGAAAGCCTCTTGATGCTGTTTCTCCTGCAGTTCAGGTGAAAGGTAAGCTGAGCACTCTCACTTAAGGACCAGCTTTTAAAATAATAGATATTTGGTTAATTATAATTTAGTTAAATGCTTTGCATTTATCATTTATTTTTCACAGTTATAAGTGCTGGAAAAATTGAAGTTTTTGTCTGGTTTGTGAACTGATTTTCTGCCACGTATCAGACAACTTTCGAAATTTGACACAAAAGCAAGCTCATTTTTACTCATCGTTGCCTGGAGGATGATTTGTTTTTTGCAGTAAAGAGAATTGGGACATGTCTCTTAGGGTGAAAAGTAAATTCCATGTGTTTTGCTAGATTGGCCACAGTGTAAGTCAAATCAGTAAAGCTTACTTCCATTCAGTCTTTGTGACCATATTCTAGTGTGAGGAGTTAAATGTCAGAAGATTGTGCACAGAGCAGCTTTTGAAGAAGAGAAACTGTCCGACAGAAGTGAGATCAGCGATTCACAGAGTGTGCCAGATTCAGTTTGGTCAAAGGGAGTGAATGGCTAGCATGCATTTGCCAGATCCTGTTTACAGAAAGTAGAGCTTTGGGCATTCTCTTTTGATCAGCAGAACAGTGTGGATTATAATTAAATCAACTCAAAAAGAGGGAGAGGTAGAGTTGATGTGTATTATTGAGCTTCCCATTATTGTGCTGTGTGTGTGCAAATAAAAATACCACATGGGGGGATACCAGTCAGGCATGACTTTTTTTTTCAATTACAAATATAAAACACAAATAACACACATCTCTGATRTTTTAGGGCAGGGGTATAAACCAGGAGATTCCAGAGGGAGAAAAATATGAACAGTCTGCATGACTACATTCAGAGGGGAGTGCAAATGCTCATCTGTAAAGTGTCAGTTGAACAGTTAGATTGATCATTTCTGTTTACTCTAAAGTTCAGTGTATTGCACCGTCTCTACCATTATCACTCTTGTTCAGATAGGCAGGTGTTTTCATCAGTGAAAACCCTGGGAGCCTCTGCCAGCATGAGAAATTATTCGAGTAACAAATTGTTAGAGGTTTGAAAAGAGGGCAGGGACAGCCAAGGGAAATACAAATTATGGGTGTTTTATCCATTAAATAACAATTGTTGTAGAATAATTTTTGTTACAATTTGTTGTCAGTTTATTAGGCAGTTTTTTAAAAAAGATAAACAGTGTAAGTTTTGTTTGTCATAGACTTTTGTTTCTAAACAGGGATATAATAAAAAAGAGCAACAGGAAATGTATGTATGTATGTATGTATGTACGTATGTACGTACGTACACGGATGTATGTACGTACGTACGTACGTATGTACGTACGTTTTCTTCAGATTTCCAAGCCCTGGTGTGTTTTTCACTACCTAAATCCCCTAATAGCTGACTTCATTGGTTTTATTGTTAATGAGGAGAAAAGATCAAGGATTTCACATCYTTTTTTCTTTCCACCCAGCAGATTGACAGCTCACACAAACAAGTGGAGGAAGTGCACTGTCACTTCATGCTGCGTGTGACCTGTGAATTCAACTTATTGACCAGTTTAAATTGYAAAAACATGACCAAAATTTTGGGAGGGTTTTAAAAAATTATTACAACTCTTCAGATGTGCACAGTGATGAGGTTCATTTTTTGAAGCCATGTCAACATTTGCATGTGAAACAGRTGTAGTTAGAATTGTTTTAGCATGTCATCTTTATTTGCTCCAGGCGTAATCTCACACTGTTCAATTACAGCTGGCAGAGGGATATCTCCCACAGTTGAGTCATTTAACTTTTAACATCCTGCTGAGTCAGATAAAATGTCTTTTTTTTCTCCCTTTTTATTTTCCACTCTAGCACAGGTTAACAGTGTGCTTCTCTATTAATACATTATTTAACTTAAGTTACAGTGGTGCTGTTTTGCTGTTTGCTTCATTTCTTTGCAGCTCAAAAACGATATAGGTGTTGCAATATACTAWATACATATACATCAATATACATACATATACATATCAATATACATCACGAATTCTCTGTAAATCCAAACTTGATAAAGTCACATTTGGGCTTTTGCATACAGCAGACTATGGGGGACCGAATGGGGGRCCGAACCAGCGACCTTCCGGTTCCAGGACGACTCCCCAACCACTCCGCCACAGCCACCCCAAAATGTAGACTAATGTGAGATCAGCAATAAGGGATTATGCTTTGTTTTTATGCTACAAGTTTGGTGCTATTTTTGTTTAGGACAATTTCTTTAAAGACTGCGTTTGTGAGTTTTTTTGGGACATGATAAACAAAGGTGTCATGAGTATTTTGTCTGACGCAGCTTCAGGAAATTATGCAACCTGGCAAAATTRTCACCTGACAGTGGATTTATAGTTATGTTAGACTAGGGGAAAAAAGGTTCATTTAACTTCCCCACTTGTATGATTTTTAGTCTTTCAGCTCTCCATGGTTTTCACAAAATCTACAAATGGTATAATCTAATGAGCTACAACAAACTAGGGCTGGGTATCGATTCAAATTTCCCAAATCGATTTTGTTTGATTCACAGGGGCCCGATTCGATTCACGATTCACAACGATACAGGACGATTCACGATTTAATTTGATTTCTAAATTAGTTAARGATGTCAAGCAGTAACACATTTACTTTGATATGTAAGACATTCTCAAAGGAACTAATTCTGCAAATAGTAGAAACTAATTCTAACTTGGTGCATTGGTAAAATTATAAACATTAAGGACAAAATTGTAAATTGGAGTTTAATCTTGAAACAAAATTCTCAAGTTTCAAAGGGTTTAAACTAAAAAGGAATTGCAAGAGAAAGTGTTGTTGATACAATAGTTTTTTAAGAAATTAAGAATAATTTTCTTGACCACTAAGAAGTGATGGAATAAGGTTACAGGAGAAGAGGTGGGATTAATATAAGTGTACTTATGCCCACTCTTTTGAGTGTATGAAAATTGTATATTTGTAACGTTTTTGTTAGCTTCTGTTCAGTAAAACTTATTAACAAGAAGAAAGAAAGAAAAAAAGTACTTCAGCTAAAACCTTCCATCACTGTGAATTACATTAAGATGTTTCAAAAATTTATAAATAACAATGGTAACAAAAATAAACGATTTTGTTAGACTGACATCTTTCACACATTTATAAAGGAGAACAGTTTCAGATGTTTACATACTGTAGTTTTGGTCCGACCACCAGAACCAGCCGTTCGAAACTTCGTTTTCTGCTACCGCATCCGAGCACAAAACTTTGCAAACAAAAGTCGTTATGGCCTCTGTTATCTTTAAGTTCAGCTGAGAATCAGCTTTAATGTTAGTGATTCCTTTGTTTCTTTTGTTTTGCCCCAGACAACTTGTTGTCAGGAGCTAACATTAGCGCTGACTGTCAACTGGATGTAAACCTACGGCAAACTAGGAGTGACACACAACACAGAAACACGCAGCTTCATCACACACAACCCCCGTGGGGAAAAAATCGATCTCGTGACTTATGAATCGATCTTCCCAAATTTTAACGTGAATTGATCCAGATCGATTAAATCTATTTTTTTAACCCAGCCCTACAACAAACCACTCGTTAACATGAGGCATTTTAAAACTGTGTTGATCTGCTGGAACATCTGTGTCCTGGTATTGACATGAATGTGCTTTAAGTTTGTTTCACACCCCTTTTTGTGCTGTTAGTACAACTTGCTCATGAGTCATGTGTTAAACTGTTTCAGGTTAGAGAGACATTGTTCCACTGCCACAGGTGGATTGATGTGAGTTAGTCATGCAGTTAATACAGCCTTCTGATAACATCATATTTTCCCATCAACTCTATTCCAAGCTTTACTTTTCAGTAATTTTTTTATTTAAGTTTTAGTAGCTAGCAATAAGTGCTGTTAATTGTATACACTAAATATGTGTAGTGTTTGATTGGGTAATCATTGCTGCATTAGCAGTGGTGCAATGAATAGACCAGTGGTTTTCAAACTGTGGGGCGCAAGAGGTCTTGAAGGGAGGCTCGAGGTGAATCAGGAAATAAGAACATAAGGCTTATGTTCACACTGCATGTCTAATGCAATAGACTATTGAAACTGAGATGTCTAAACTTGATTTTTATGGTATGAATGAAAGGAAATTTTCAAAACATACTGACAGTAGATTTAACCCATGGGAACACATTCTAGCCATGGTCACAGCACTGCCTCAGCAGCTCGTCCTTGTTTCCACTGACCTCCTACTGTATATTGAAGTTTAAAGGAAGGACCCAGCCTACCCAGTCTGGGTTCTTGGTAGAAAGCGAAGACTGGAAAAAAGTGGCTGTGAATTTATTTTAATTTTTATTTAATTTTTTTTTTTACTTTAGTTAATGTATCGGTAATCTGGTGTTGCAGTACTGAAAAAGGATGTTGTGAATATCTTAGCAAACCTGAACATTTACTTAAAATTCCTTGTGCAGCTGGCTAATGAAAAAGTAATTAACGTCATTGATACACTTGAACATTAAAGTTTGAGGAGCCTGTAATTGGTCCCTGCCTTCTGGCCTACACAGGGCTGCTTCTTGTTTCAACATCATTGAAGTCATTTATTTGACAGCGTGTCTTCTATTATCTCTTGATTTCATTCCAACCATGATGGACAGCTCCTCTGTCTTGTTGGTGGGTTTCTTTCCAGCCTCTTGCATCTCTTTTCTCTCCAAGAGCTTAATAGAAGAGGCCTCACTAAACACTTTTAAATTAAAAACCATTTGGGCAGTTCTGTGCTGGCTCAGTCACAGGCTCATTTCTGCTATTTTTTTCTCTCATTTCTTTTTCTATTCAATCTCGATAGCCAATTATCTTTTTCTGCCACTGAGGGTTTTCAGCTCTAAAAAAGGCTTTGTTATACTGTAATAGGGCAATTAAAGTTGCTGCTGTAATGTAAAGTAGAGCACAAGAATACATGTAGTTTTTATAGTTCTGTTATATAATTCAGTGTACACCGGAAAAAGAAATCGGTTATTGCGTTGAGTTTTTCTTCAGTTTTAGTTTAGGGAACAGAAATGCAG